TTTATATGAGGACAACACAACTATATAATAGGACTTCTCTTCTCTCCTTTGAAAACTGACCAGTTGATATGCTGTTAGTGCTGTGAGATTTTTGTTTTTGTCCTTACAATGTTGGTCACTGCAGAGTTTTCAATTCAATTGATATTACACACATTTGATTTAAGAAATTTTTTAAATATGTGGTGCCAAAAGCATTTTTAAAGTGTAAATACATATTCCAGATCTGGAGCTAATGTAATATGTGTATTGAGTCTCCATAAACAAAGCAAAGACCTGTGTCCAGCTTCCAGTCTTCTCAGATTGTTTGTGTTCAATTTACCTGGACGAACGAGCTTCCTAGCAACTCATTCATGAAAGAGGAGTGTTTGTTTGCTTATTGTGTAAGCCCATCAGATTTGACTACTGCTTAAAGAAAGAGTAAACCACTTGTGTGTTTGATTAATGGGCTTGGAATAAATGTTAAATCTTTTATGTGAACCTTTAATATTAACTTCCTAATGTCAGGCCAACTAAATTAACAAGTAACTCGGCCTTGAAATAAATATGGACTACGGCATTTAAAAAAAAAACTCTTACTGTCTCTACTTTGTTACCTGCGGCCCAAATGTAGGAATTAGAGTGTTCACTTCCTGCATGTTGATGTCAGCTGAGTTTTGAAGCCGATCCCGACACTGGTTCCTGCTGTCAGGGTTAAAAACTTTATGTTGTGTTGTGAAGGAAAAAATTAAAGGAACACTCTGGGGTACCATAACAACTTAATTGAAATCAAGTTTTTATGGTGCCAGGAGGTGCCTGGAACTGGCTCCCCTTTAGGGGTTAAACCATTCTCGAACAGTTTAACCACAAATTCTGTGTTCCAGCTCCAGATCTCTCTCTTCCTCAAATTCTGGAAACCGGAAGTCTTGGGCAGACTCAGCAGGAGCGCTTCTGATTGGCTGAGAGAGGTCTGCTGATGCTCTCAGCCAATGAGTGACTCCTCATTCATTAAACTGGCTCGGTTTTATTACTGGGGAGTCACTCGGAAAGGTGAGCCAATGCCATTGTTATGGTCCCCAAACTGGTCCTTTTAGGTTTCATAGATTTCAAGCCAAAACATTTGAATCTGCTCTCTTTTTCTCTGTATAGGAAATTGTTTTGTTATCAGTTTTGTTTTTCTATTTGTCTCTGTAGGTTAATTCACATTTAGAACACTCTCTCTTGCATACATATTTTATCTAGTTATAACAAAAACAAAAATGAATTGTGATTAGAGCATCATTAATCAATGTAATGTATCTCTTGTATTCTTCTTTTGCATGGATTGGAGAACATTTCATTTAAAGTCTACTTCTGGATGCAATGCCCTTTGAGGGTTTATATCTTGCTGGTGAGTAATGGTTTGGAATCTGTGCATAGCAGAAATGTATCTGAAAGTAAATAATACACGGAAAGAATGTAAATAGCATAGTGCAGCTATTTTCTCAAGAGACATAGCTCATCAGTTGGAACACGAACTGAATATTAAATATCTACTGGTGGATAAAATGTTCTGATTGTTTGGAATCATGAACTTCTATTTTTTCACACTCTGTACCGAAGGATCACATGCCAAGAAGCTGTTCAGGCTGCACCATTTGAGCCATGCAAGGGTATGGCATTGTAAAATCTTATCCTTTATCTATATCCTTTTTGGGGTTTTTTACATTCTTTATTTTTTCAATGCAGAAAGAAAAATACAAGCATACAGATTTTTTTTTAGCAAGAACATATACAGTATAAAAACGGTACACGTTTCATGAACACAGCTTAGCCCAGAATTGGTGTCACATGAGTAGGAAGCGTCTGTTGCATAGTTACATAATTACATAGGCTGAAAAGAGACATGTGTCCATCAGGTTCAGCCTTTCTCGCATCTGTTTTTTTTTGTTTTTGTTTTTTGCTGTTGATCCAAAAGAAGGCCAAACATTTTGAAGTTCTTCCAATGTTGCAACAAACTAGGAAATAAATTCCTTCGTGACCCCAGAATGGCAGTCAGATTTATCCTTGGATCAAGAAGCTATTACCCTACATTTTAAGAATGATATCCTTGAATATTATATTTTGAAAGTATGTATCCAGTTGCTGTTTAAACATCTGTACAGACTCTGATAAAGCCACTCCTTCAGGCAGAGAATTCCACATCCTTATTGTTCTTACTGTAGAAAAACCTTTCTTTTGCCTTTGAGTATATCTCCTTCTTCCAGTCTAAACGCGTGACCCTGTGTCCTATGGATAGTCCTGTTTGTGTATAGATATCCACACAATGGTTTGTATTGGCTCCGCATATATTTGTATAATGTTATATCCCCTCTGAGGCGACAATATTCTAAACTAAATAGGTTTAAATTTGTTAACCTTTCTTCATAGCTGATATGTTCCATTCCTTTTATTAATTTTGTAGCCTGCCTCTGCACTCCTTCTAGTGCCACAATATCCTTCTTTAGATCAGGTGCGCAAAATTACACAGCATATTCAAGGTGTGGTCTTACCAGTGATTTATAAAGAGGCAAAATTATATTATTTCGAGAATTAAAGCACCTTTTTAAAACATGACAATACCTTACTGGCCTTAGCCACTACTGACTCACACTGCACACTGCTGCCTAGTTTGTTGTCGATAACAATTCCCAAATCCTTATCTTGTGCTTTTATCCTAATTTACTACCATTTAGGGTGTAAAGTTACTGGTGCATTTTATTGCTCTGAAGTGCACAGCTTTGCATTTTTCTACATTAAATTTAATCTGCCATTTGAGTGTCCAGTCCCACAATCTATCTAAATATATCTGCAGCATAGTAATATCTTGCTTACATTGTGTTACTTTAGAGTTTTGTGTCATCTGCAAACACTAAAATATGACTGTCAAAGCTTATTTCAAGATCATCTTTGATTATGTTAAATAGAAGTGGTCCTAGAGAAGAACCCTGAGGGACACCGCTAACCACTTTTGTCCACCTTGAAAATTTACCATTAATGACAACTGTTCATGCTCCATTTTTAAGCCAATGTTCTACCCAAGTACAACAATTTTCATCTAGACCGATTTCTTTGAGTTTCAACACTAATGTATTGCGAGGAACCATATCAAATGCCTTGGTTAAATCCAAGTAGATCACATCCACTGCAACACCCTGGTCTATACTTCTACTTACTTCTCCATAGAATGCAATTAGGTTACTTTGACATGACCTATGACCACAGGTTGACTCTGTCAGGTTCTTACCTGATGGGGAGTCCGGCTCGCAGAGTTATACGCTCACCCTTGCAAAGTAGACACAGACCAGGGTGACCAGGTAAGACGCCACCTGGCCTGTGAGTCTGTGCACGGGGGCTTTCCAGGAAAAGTGCTCCAAGACTCAGTACAGCAGGGATTAGCAGAAGCGTGGTCAAGGGAAGCCAAAATCAGGGAAGCCAGAGGTCAGAGTAGTCCAGGAGGAAAGCCAAGGTCAGAAGCCGGAATTAGACAGTAATCACTGGAACGCAGGTACAGAGTAACAGGAACCAAACAAGGGAACCAGAGTCAATGAACTGACACTGCCCTCAGGGAGAGGCAGTGTCTTATACCTGGCTAATTGGTGATCAGCCACAGGTGTGCTGAGATCGTTGGAGCAGCCACAGAATAACGTCCAGCCCCCAGTGCTGGGTACAAGGCAATATAGACTTCTGGCTATCTCTTGAGCTGATATGGTGGCTCAGAGGCAAAATAGCAGCCCCAGGACTGCAAAGTACCCTGGTTCAAGTCCGTCACCGGGCACTTCTGGGGCGACCTCGTCTGGCCGTCGGGATGTCGCGGTGAGAATCGTGACAGTACCCTCCCTTCAAGAACGCTCTCCGGGCGTGAACAGGTTCTTCCCGGAAATAGTACTCCTCATCTTCGGTCTCAGGATCACTAAGATAGTCTTTGTAATCAAAGTCTACAGACTGGGACTTTATGGTACCAGTTTCGGGTGCTAATGGGAAGAGGTCAAGGTTATTCATGGATTTGGTGCAGGCGGTAAGTACCTTGATCCCAGGAGTCAGTTTCTCTGAGCTTTTTTTCTTAGGTGAGTCACCAGGAGCAGAGCTCACGGCTTTCAAAGCCCTTTCAAACATTTCCAGATCTGTTCTGTGGACCTTGTTACCATAGGTGCAATCCACAGGTAGTTCTCCTTTGGGCAGGCAGGAAGTGGTGATGGTACCAGTTTTAACAGGAGAGTCTTCTGGAGGTAGTGAATTCTCATGATCACCGATTATGTGTTCTTGAGAGACACTAGCATCAGTAGCCATCGTAGTCTGGGTACTCTTCTGCGTCACGGAACGTGGAAACTTCTGACAGTATCCTTGACATTTTTCTGGCTGTGTTGCCGGGATAACAGGATGAAGGTGAGTAGTACCTACTTGAAGAGGCTTAGGCCGAGTTGGGCGAATAGGGCAGTGGGAGATAAAGTGCCCTCCTTCTCCACAATAGAAACAGAGACAACAAGCCCTCCTTCGGTCTCTTTCACTAGATGGCAGTCTTGTTCTTGTGCGGATGAAGCCAATCTCCATGGGTTCCTCCTTGTCCTCTAGAGTGCCAAGTTCCACATGGGTAACATTATGATGACAAGGCAGGTCCTTGGAGGTAGGTTTAGACTGTAGCGAGATGGGATTCTTGTATTCATAAAATAATTCCTCTTCTCTAGGCAACCGGGTTCTGCGAGAACCTGAAGTAGGCTTGGGAGTTGCTTTCCTTGATGCAAAGCACTGAGAGTCCATTGCGGACATGAACAACTCCCAGGAGTCCAAGACAGTACTTCTCTCCTGCAGCTTCTGGTGTGCCCACGCCTTAATCCGCCCAGTACACAGGTTAATAGCGGAGCGGACTCTGATAAGGTCGGTGGCGTAGGTTCTAGGTTTCAGGGCAAACAGTAGCTCACAATCCTTCTTGAACATCGGGAAAGCAGAACGGGAACCGTCAAACCTGTCAGGCATAATGACATAGGGTTCCGGGTATGTATGTTCCGGGATTGGATGTACTGCTCCTTTAAATGCCAATGAACATCTCTGCAAATCCATAACATTCTGGGACAGGTTGGAGACTTGTTCAGCCAGGGAGGTGAGTAATTTGTATAACTCTGCAGACTCCATATGGTCAGTTCATTATGTCAGGTTCTTACCTGATGGGGAGTCCGGCTCGCAGAGTTATACGCTCACCCTTGCAAAGTAGACACAGACCAGGGTGACCAGGTAAGACGCCACCTGGTCTGTGAGTCTGTGCACGGGGGCTTTCCAGGAAAAGTGCTCCAAGACTCAGTACAGCAGGGATTAGCAGAAGCGTGGTCAAGGGAAGCCAAAATCAGGGAAGCCAGAGGTCAGAGTAGTCCAGGAGGAAAGCCAAGGTCAGAAGCCGGAATTAGACAAGAATCACTGGAACGCAGGTACGGAGTAACAGGAACCAAACAAGGGAACCAGAGTCAATGAACTGACACTGCCCTCAGGGAGAGGCAGTGTCTTATACCTGGCTAATTGGTGATCAGCCACAGGTGTGCTGAGATCGTTGGAGCAGCCACAGAATAACGTCCAGCCCCCAGTGCTGGGTACAAGGCAATATAGACTTCTGGCTATCTCTTGAGCTGATATGGTGGCTCAGAGGCAAAATAGCAGCCCCAGGACTGCAAAGTACCCTGGTTCAAGTCCGTCACCGGGCACTTCTGGGGCGACCTCGTCTGGCCGTCGGGATGTCGCGGTGAGAATCGTGACAGACTCTTCCTGCAGAGTCCTCCAGAACTGCTGGCATATAGAATCAAATTCCTTCCGAAAGCCACTTGGTGTATAGCAGTGTTGCCTTCTGCCATTATAGGTATACTGCATGGGAGCAGCCTTTACAGCACGGGGAGGGGGCAGTACAGGGCTTTGGTTGTGTGCAGGATTGGTCCTTCCAGATCACGTTTAGAAAACCAGCCACGGACTAGGCCTCAAGTTTCGTCCACCGTCAGCCACAGCGAGATGCCCAGGAGTCTCCAAGTGCAGACTAGTAGCCGATAAAAGGCTAAAGGTATTGGGTTTTGAGCGATTATGTAGAAAACCCCAGGAGCCAAAATGACCGGCGTCTGCTCAGCTTGACGGTCATTCTCCGTCCCCTCTGTATTTATATCTTGTCTCTGCCTTATTAAAGCAGCAGCACAGAGGAAACCAGAAAGATGGTAAGTGATCTTCTTAACCAAGTTCCACCTCCCACTATAACAACTTTTATTATTAGAATTATTTATTATTATTAACACTTATATAGCACCAACATTTTCTCTAGTGCTGTAAATTGTACATTGGGGTTGTTTAACAAATAATTGATAGAGAAGTAGTTAAAGGAAAACAGCAACCACATGTGAAAGCTTACACAAGATTAATAGTTACCACCAACGATAAAGCAGCCCTGCCGTTCAGCTTCCCCACGTTCTGCATGGAGACGCTGAATTTTCCTCATAGAGATGCATTGATTTTGGTTTACTGTGCCTATTTGGTAAACTCCTTCCATTACATTTTTCTCATCAGGAAAAAAGGTTATTATGTGTAACAGTGTTAATTGTAAGTATTTATATGAAGAGATGCACAGATCTAATAGATGTATTAAATTAACTGTATCTCGCATGAATTTCTGTCTAATGCAAGTTTAACTTATATCAGCAAACTTTTTCTTTACCTGCAATCCAAAACAGGACTGATTGATAATGTAATCAAACTGTGATGTAACATTGATAGCAGCTTGGGATACAGGTCTGATTTAAAATAACAGTTTTTCCTTTTAGTGTATTGATCAAATAATGAGCAGGGAAATCCGTTATGACAATGAACCCAACCGACATTCAGAAAAAATACAATACACATTGTAATATGTATTTAAAAATGACATGTAGCAGATAAGGAAAATACTTATAAGGAGAATAACGTAATATGTACTGAAACAGATGACAATGGATTTATCTATACTGTAAAGTCTCCTTTAACAAGTTACTTAAAACAAAAACATACCTGCACAACATTAGGTATAGCTTTATGGCTTGGAGGAAAGACAAGATGGGGGGGGTGTTGATAGAAACATTTAAATACATAAAGGGAATCAACGCAGTAAAAGAGGAGACTATATTTAAAAGAAGAAAAACTACCACAACAAGAGGACATATTCTTAAATTAGAGGGACAAAGGTTTAAAAATAATATCAGGAAGTATTATTTTACTGAGAGGGTAGTGGATGCATGGAATAGCCTTTCAGCTAAGGGGAGGGAGTTTAAGCATGCCTGGGATAGACATAAGGCTATCTTAGCTATAAAATAAGGCCAGGGACTTAAAAAGTATTTTAAAAATTTGTGCAGACTAGATGGGCTGAATGGTTCTTATCTGCCGTGACATTCTATGTATATACTTGTACCAAATATGGAACATTGGTCTCAAAAGTGTATAAAGCCCACATAATGTAATATGGTGTCGGGCTAAAACAGGGCATCTGATCTCCAAGTGCAGCCCAGCACCCTAAATCCTTCTTGCTGTTACGGGTAGTCAGTAGCACTTATCATATTGAGTCATGCATGCCCTATATAGTGTACGATGGTGTAATCATCTACTGTAAATCTTCACAAGGCCGAAGAACTGACTAGAACTCTAGCCACACAATTTGTTTCTGCGCCGGGTGAGGACCAGCCTTTGAATGGAAGCAATGGTGAATGGAACTTATTGTAATGTTCTACAACATAAAAAAATAGAGAAAATATTTCAAAACAACATATTAAGGAAAATTAGATTCACCTTAATGTTTACATTTTCTTATAACACTAGGGTCCTAAAGTCCTCTAAACCTATTAAAAAAAAACACATTTTGAAAACTCCCTGGAACGTATATGTCTTTTGACTTGTTTATTACGGTGACAAATCGTAAGACAATCCACCCTAAGTCTTCATAAAACAAACCTGTGATTCTTCATCAACCACATACGAAGAATGGTAGAAAAAGAAAATGCTATTATTTAGAAAGCTATATTCTGTATACTCAATCCCAAATCATGAGAGAAGCACCACTTATAAAGTGCTTATGTATTAAAACACACAAAATCAGTCTCCTTACTGAAGTACAACCAATAAATATAAAATGCAATTCTGTGCTAGCTGTACTGTTACTTTGCAGTATTATAGCATTATGTTTTTAAATTAATTTAAAAAAATACTTATTTTAAATTCATCCTTGGTTTTTGCTTATACATGAGAAAAAGTAAGCACTACTTTATTTAAAGGAACTCTCCAAGCACCATGCTTGTAGTGGTTATAGTGTTGGGAGCACTGGCTCCATCCTAGTGTCATGTAGTCAAAATGGTTTAGTATATTTAACAATTTATATGCGTTCCGCCAGGCACCTTTGGCTGCAGCTCTTATGCTGCGTAGTGGTTATGGTGTGTCATTGTTTTTTTTATACACCATATTCTTTAGTCTTACCTCTTATTTTCTTATTGCAATCTTAGAATGTAGTGGCACATGAGATCAAGTTAGAAAGTTCAATGTAGAGACTGCAAGGGACTGTTTAATCGGGGCAACTAGTCGGTGAGTGTGCTGAATAAAGTCCAGATGGTACCTAAGGATGTCCTAGTGAGGATGCACAATGTTTATTTTCCCCTGCAGACAGAGGTAGTAGATAATTAGGGATCTTCAGCTTTTTCATGCGGTACAGACAGCCTACTGGAGGAGAGACTTTTAAAAGTTAGGCCCCATCTCACCCTCTTCCTCCTAACCGTATAAATCTGCTAAGACCCCAAAATGCCCCAGTTCTCTGATTGTCCTCAGCAGAGCAGGTACCCAAGGTAAAATAGGGACCATCATACCAGTGATTCTTAATCACTAGGTGTAAGACCCAAATTAAGTGACCATGCTATTTAATTGAGTCCCCAATGAAACAAGTACATCAAATTCATCAGGCCACAGGTGACTGCTTCTAAAAAATGGTTAATGGTGCATCACTGCCTTCCCAATGAAATGGTAACCACTCTCATGCTGGGAAGAAGTACTTAATTTGGGTCCTTTTGGTGGCATTAATATTTTTATTTTAACAAAAAAAGTTTTATAAACATATACGTCAATACAAAAAAATAACATAAAATAGGAAAAATACCCACTTTTTTTCCACCTTTTTATGTATGGTATTCTGTTTATCTCAGAGATGATTTGTGTGGGAGGTATTCATTAATTGCTGTATGGTTATATAACCATAAACCATCTATTGAGTGTCAGTTTTGCCTTGTATTTTATTTTGCTTGCTACCATCTGTTTTAAAATAAAATTGCTGACTATCACCTCTATAAATAACAAGAGAGTAATTCATATTTTCTGACCTTCTCAAGAAAATAAAGTAATCTCAAATATGATAAAGTAAGCATATTTTTTTACAAAATATTGCTCTGCACTCAAAGTGTTAAACTGTGCTAATATAATATACACTAACGGACCGGCTCCGAGCTCCATACCCGAAGCCCCAACAAAAGACCCACCCCACTGGACCCCACCAACGCAACCCAGGGCATATATCCCCACTAAATAAGACCTCCACATGTACACCCATCCAACCAATGAAACCCCACATACTAAAACAATATGAGCAGTACAACCTGTTAGGTATACCAAACCCACCCCCAAGATAAACACTGAATCACATCCCCCACTAAAACTCATAAATCTGTAACTTACCGCAAAACTACCCACACCATACCACAAATGTTGAATGATTCAAAACACGCAACTGTTTCTAAAAGCTCTGTTCATTATATGCGCATGGCCCGATCTTCAGTAGCCATGACGATGGGATCAACTCAGTGAGTTACCAAACCCCACGGCACTGAAATACCCACATACATATTTTATATCTTATGTTTTTTATGCCTAAACCATTACCTGCTCTGTAAACTAACTGTTACCATGCTATATTAAGATGCCCATGTACCTTCTACCTGCTGTATCCTTCTTCAAACTGGATTGTTACGCGAATTTAAATCAAAATAAAAACTTTTTGAATCAAAAACTGTGCTAATATGCGTAGTTCTAACCCCACAATGTGTGTTTTTGCTTTTTTTTTTCCAGTAAATAATTTTTTACTAATTTTCCTTTTTTGGGGGGGAGAACCGGGGCACTTAAGCTGTGCAGGGTTTTTATATAAATAGTACATTTAATAACCCTCTCATGATTTGTTTGGGTGGGGGATCATGAGAGGCACCAGATCCGAAAGGAACTCTGGAACGAAGTCCTGGAGGTGCTCCAGGTTCCTCAGAGGGAATCCCTTCCAGCTCCGGAACAGCGACTGCAGAATCAGCTGGACCTGCGGATA